GCCAGGCGGGGACAAGTTGCTTCCCTGGCGTCCACACGCGGCCACTCGGCAAACACTTTACAGCCAGTTCCCACCCTGGGACTACGCTGTCCGTGCAGGACAGCGGGTGTGAGTGGGCCCCGCGGTGCCTACCGGACTGTGGCCTGGCCACCACTGCAACTGTCCCCTCATGAGTCACGATGACAACCCTGGCACCAGGGTGAGGGCTTGAAGGGAGGGTCTGGTGACAGCCACGAGCACGAGCATGCCGTGGCTGTGGCATGACCTGAGACAGGCCCACAACAAGGATGAGAGCCACGGTGACAGTCACAGGCCCACAGGTGAACGTGGAACGGGAAGGTGCCATGTCTCTACGAAGGGGAAGCAGAGGACCCTAAACCCAACCTGAGGAAGGACTCAGCCCCACAAGACAGTAAACCCATTCCAGGGGGCGGGAGTGGCGTGGGGGAAGATATGCAAGGGCAACGTGCAAGGGCGAAGGAAGCCGCGTGCAGAGAGTGGCAGGAGCCCCAGTCAAGACATGCACACAGAGAGCCGAAGGGCACTCGGAAGTGGTGCTCAGACCCGTGGAATCTGGCAGATGTGGGGTCGGAATGCAGAGCCATTTAAAGTTGTCCGGTCCGGGGCGCATGACCCGTTCTCTCCCTTAGGAGAGTCATTGGAAGACAGGACCCTGGTGGCCAGGACAGACGCCCTGAGCAGGCCTCCACCAGCATCCAGTGTGGGGCACAGTGAGGAGGAGGGGCCCTGGGGCTGGACTCTGGACGCCCCACACACTGGGGCTCAGGGGACAGACCAGCTGTGCAGCATGGGCGGCAGGTGCCATACCCCTGTGCAGCCCTGCCCCGGGACAGCCCTTGAGGGACAGCGGCCAGCTCCCTGTCCCTCAGTCATCCAGACCCCTCAGCCCTGAAGCGCCTGCCAGGGACCCTGCTCTTGGGGGGGGGGGGGGCTGTGGCCCCCAAGTCATCTTGACGCTAAATTCTAAATAGATGTCATCGAGCCCTTCCCCCAAGTCAACTCCCCAGCCCCCACTGGGCTGGCCCAGGCACTCACCCCCGGGGGCCAGCACTTAGCAATGGATCTGGGTGGCCACCTGACAGCCCTTCAGGCTGGTGTCCCCATGTGTGAAGCGGTGACCGGCAACACTGTCCATGTCAACACAGGCTGGCGCCACCCGGGACTCAAGGGGCAGGAGCCCTGAAGGCCCAGGCAGAGGTGGGCGGTGGCAGCAAAGTCCCTGGCCTGGAACCTGCCGGAACACAGGCCTCTGCCTCCTGAAGAGCACAGGCGGGTGACAAGAGAGCCACGTATCAAGGCTCGGGAGATCCTGTCTTCACGGCTGCTGACGTGGCGCCTGGCTCACCGGCAGGCCACTGAGGGTGCCGGGAAGTGGGCGTCATCCCCACTGTTGCTCAGGGCACTCCAAGACCCGCCCAGCCACATGCACTGGCCATCAGCCTCACTGCCTCACTCTGGGCCAGCCACCAGACATGCAGGGACGAGGAGGACACGGCTGCGATGTGGAGGAGGCAGCACGGTCACTACATGCCACCAACCGGCCAGCGCATCTGTTCTCCTGCAGTGAAGGCCTGTCTCCTTCATGGCTGTGCTGAGGAAGCAGGATGGCCAGGGACACGGTCAGGGGGACATGGCCAGGGGAACAAAGCGAGAGGGACACGGCCAGGGGGGCACGGCCAGGGACACAGCCAGGGGACACAGGCAGGGAGACACAGCCAGCTGCTGGCATTGAGCTGCAGAAGCAACAAAGCCCAGGAGACACCGGAGGCGAGTGCAGCAGGCAGGACCAGGTCCCGGGACAAACGCAGTGGCCCAGACCATCTGGGTTGGCTCAGAGCCCTGGGCCATCCAAGTGAGGGAGGTAAGGGCCGGGTCGGGCTGGGGACACAGCCGCCAGCGAGGGACTCTGACTCAGCCGTGACTCCTGGGGCCTGCCGTCCTGGGCTCCGACGCCTCCCCCATGACACTGGGCCCCAGCGGTGGGACACAGACTCTGCTCTGCAGGCGAGGAACCCTGCGAGTGACCAGGAAGACCCGACCCGAGGCTGCCACCGGCCTCAGGGACACGAGTCCTACTGGTCCCTAAGGCAACGCCCCCTGCAAGACCTGACTCGCTCAGCACAGATGAAGGTGCCCCATTGAGGCGAGGGGTCTTCCAGCCCTGGCTTGGTCCCGCGGCAGGACGGATCCCAGACATGGAATGAGTCACTATCAGTCAGAGAACGGGGAGGTTCTTGTAATAATTTTCCGGAAGGCAGCTGGCAACACTGGCAGGCTGCGATAAGGCCAGGTTCCCGGGCAGCAGGCACGTACAGATGCTGGCTGCCAGCACTGAACAATGGAAGCTCACACAACCCCTCCTGCCGATTTCCCGGCCTCGACTCTGCCTTCACAATAACAGACCCATCAGCAAGGCACATGCGGGTGAGTGTGCCCCTCATGGAGCTGAAAATCGGCTCTTGCCGGCAGCTCTCATGATCCATGCACCAGCCCCTCAGAGCCACAGCCAGCGAGCCTGGCGCCTCAGGATCAAAGCCCAAGGCAGGGAGAAGCCCTGTGTGGGCGTAGAGGGCCGCACACTTGCTGGCAGATGCCGCCACACCTCGGAGCACCAGCCCCACCAGGGCTCTTCCCAGCTGACCCTGTGCAGGCCCAGAGGCCGGCAGTGGAAGCCCACAGGAGCCACAGGGGGAACGGTACTCAGGGCGGACAAATGCTTAGTTACCCTGTCGTGAGTGCGCTGTTCCCCTTAAATCAGAAAATAAATCCTTGCTCCCTGGAGTACGTAAAACATTACAGGGACTTTTATAGTTATAATCAAAACCCTCATTTCTCTAGCCACCGCTGGCCATATCTAATTAGGGTGAGGGATGTTAATGACACAGCTATGGCCCAGGACATCTCTCCTCGTGATATTAATTGCACTTAAAGAGAAAAGCCTGAATCGCGCCGTGCTTCCTAATTAGCACGCATCTGCTAATTAATAACAGAAAGGCGAACTGTCTTTGTCTTGTCATCTGCAATTAGCTACAGATGTTTAAATTTTCCTTTTCCCCTCTTCTTTCCTAAAAAGCGAATCCACTTAGGGCCAGAAAACAGCAGGCCGGGAGAGGTGGCATAGGAACTGGGTGTCCCTGACCCAGATGGACAGTGGGCATGGCCACAACCATTACCAACACCGTCACCAAAACAGCATGAGGGCTGTGGAGCCAGACCCAGGGTCACCTCGAGCCTCCGGCCCCACATCCCAGCTCTTGCTCCCACACCAACCAGGATCTACAGTGGGGACAAACTCCCTCCCGACCCACTGGGGGCCCACCTGGCCCTCACCTTCTGGCTGGGGGAGGAAGCAGGGAGAGCAGAGGCTCGCAGGCCTGAGTAAGCACCTATCAGCCACGCCGGCCCGGTCACGGTCCTCCCTCCAAGAGAGAGAGGAGAGAGAAACAGGTGGGAAATAGCCCCAGATTAGACAACAAGGCAGAGAGTGAACCTAAGTGAGGAGGCACACTGGCCACTGATGAACCCCGGTCGCAGAGGACGCGGACGCTTGGGCCTGGGACACACCCACGGGGCCCCCACAGTGAAAGGGCCAGCGGGACTGGTGTGCAGCTTGAACAGCATGTGTGAGACGGCAGGGTTGTGCTCCCGACGGGAGCAACCGCCCTCCCCAGCTGACTGGCAGGGCTCGAACCTCAGGCTGTCCCTTCTCGGCGCCGCACGCAGGCCCCCGAGGACACACGCAGGCCACGGTGCTGTGCTGGCCTTGACCCAGGAGCCCAGACCCGCAGGCCCTGGCCCCCGGCATCCAGTGGCAACTCAGACCCCCGACTTTCTCTCGGGCCTGCCCTCCCCCGTCTTCCCCCACTACCCGTGACTGCCTCGTCCGGCTCCCTGGCCACACTGCCGTCTCTGACCCCTGGACTCCCGCTCTCCTCGCGTCCACCCTCTGCACCGCCAGCAGGACCGCTGTCCACCGAGCACCCCTACACCCCTTGTCCCCACCTGCCTTGGGCCGCCGCCTCTAGACTATCCTACTGCCCACACTGTGGCCAACAGCAGCCGCAGGACAGCCACAGGACGGATGAAACAAGTCCAAGGACACAGCGTGTCCCCTTGTGGGCACTCCTGTTTTGCAGGTGATAGCCAGGTGACCCGCTCAAGGCCAGGGACTGGCAAGTGACGGCACCACACTAGGAGCCCCGACTCCTCACCCCAACCGGATGGCGTGTGGCCTGGGGTGGGGCACTCCCAGCACCACCTATAAATGTTCCCCATGGCCTTCCTGTGACCCTTGTGGCTAGGTCCCTACACAGGCCAGATCGTGGGCCGCAGCAGCATGAAGGGCCTTGCAGTTTGTGTGGCACAGGCTGCTGTCTGTCCCACAAAGGTAAGGAAGCCATTCGGCATGGGGCGCCCAGTCCAGGGTCAGCGGTGCCTGGCCTCCCAGCCCACTGTGGCCCTGCCCAGCTCTGTAGGCAGCCCCCGGGGGTGGAGGTGCGGGGCCGATGTGGTCTGAGAAGAACAGCCCAGAGGAAACCTGCCAAATGGCTGAGGGGAGTTCCATGCGCTCAGCAGCGAAACAGGGGCTGTGGGGCCCTGCAGGAGCCTCGGGGTGCACACCCTGGGAGGTAGGACCCCCTAGGCTGGCTGCTGGGGGACAACCTAAGGACGACACAGCCGTGGGGGCCAAGGCAGGGATCACCAGGCCGCGGGGGCTTCACCTCTCAGGAGGGTGTGCAAATCTGCTCCAGCAGGGGCATGGCCGTCCCCACACCATAGGACACCAGGGGATGTCCTCACACCGGGGAGCCAGCACCCGGCTTCCAAGCCCCACACCCTTTTCATTCCTACCCACATTTGTGATGACAGGAAGGGCCGTGGCCGTCGGGGACTCCCAGGTTCGCAGCTACATGACAGGGACGTGGTGTCCCCCACACTGGGCTCCCTGTGGCCACAAAGACCACCACCAAGGGACTCACCATGTCTGCTCTCTGCTTCTGGCCTCCCAGCTCCTCCAGGGCCTGTGACAGCTGAGCCTTTAAGACAAGACAGAAAGCAGGGTCAGTGGGCCTCCTGCTGCCCATCTCCACTGCGCCCACTGCCTGCTGAGCACGGGGACCCCGGGGAGTAGGAGATGGCCCTGCGTTCCTACTGCTGGGAGGAGGTGACCAAGGGGCGGCCAGGAGACACTCCAGTGCACGCCTACACCCGCTGCCTGAAGCGGCAACGCAGTCATGGGCGCGGGGACGTTCGGAGTACGCTTTCCACACCCCTGGCAAGAGCAGGGCCGCGATCTGCCTCCTCCCGGAAAGTCCCCGTTCCGGAAGAAGCAGTCAGGGTGACTTTCCTGGCAGGGCCAACATCCAGGAAAATCCCAGATGCCCCCCAACCACTCTCCCCTAAATGGGTCTCCAGGACTGTCCTGGGGGGCCTGGCCTGTTCTACCCCAGCACAGAGATGCAAAGGATGGTGGTGCCAGGCCGGGCCCCAGGGAGCCCAGCAGGTGCTCAGGGGTGGGCACGCTGGCTGGGTAGTCCGGCCGGCACGTTACATACCCACGGCCACCGCCGCAGAGCAGGCAGAGCATACGCCAGGGCAGCCCACCAGCGCCCAGAGCCGGCCAGGTGCACCCAGCCCTGTCACTCGCGCGTGCACCTGGCCATCACCGTCACCAGCGTGCTTTGTGTGGCTCGCTCGCAGTCCTGCATGATGTGTCCTGAGCAGCATGAGGCCAGGATGCATGCATACGGGAAGAAAGAGGCACAGGTCCTTCCCAGAAACAGTGCAAAAACGTCCTGAGGGAGTCGAGGGGTCACTAACTTCAGCACCGCCAGTGAGCGGCTGCAGCCAACTCAGAGCACGCAGTCTGTGCCACACTGCAGTGGGACACTTGTCGGGACTTTGAAAGCCCGCATGAGCATAGTTCCCCGGCGCAGAACCGCGAACAAGGTGAGTGAGGGCAGCACAAAAAGGCGGCCTGAAAACTCCAGCAATAAAACCGAGCTGAAACCCAAACCACACAGCAGTCGTTGGGACTAAGCACTGAGCCCAATGCCCTGTCCTGCAGGCCAGGGAGGGGCTCTTCACAGCCCACCTGCCACAGCCTCACTCAGGCCAGACAGAGAGAAGGGCACAGCCATCAGGCTGGCTGGTGGGGGCCTGCGAAGGGGACACGTGGGGGGGCTGGCAGTCACACTGGCCTCAGTGGGCAATGCGGGACCACCACTTGTGGGCAGGACGAGATGCCTAGAGGAAGGCCAGGAGAAAGACAATGGGGATACCCTGCTGCCCCCTGAGAGAGACCCCCCCCCCACAGAATGAGATCAGCTCCGTAGTGGCAGGACGTAGCCCAGCAGAAGGGGCAGTATATACTCCTCTAGGCTGGCAGTGTGCAAGGGTTGGTCTGGGAGAAGACATACGCCCACCTCTGGGCCCAAGGCCCCCTCGCCCCCCCCACACCTCCTGAGGGTCAGCTCAAGCTGGGATGAAGTCCCCACCCCTCCCTGTCCCAAAAGGCAGGAACCTACCACCCTGCTGAGCTGGCCGGTGCCTGGAGCAAAGATAGAACACCTATAGGGCAGGGGCTCTGGGGGCTCGCTCAGGGGAGTGACTCCTGACTGTGGCTCAGGTCATGATCTCACGGTTCATGGCTTGGAGCCCCACGTTGGGCTCTGTGCTGACAGTGTGGAGCCTGCTTGGGACTCTCTCTCCCTCTCTCTCTGCTCCTCCTCTGCTTGACTGCTCATGCTCACCTCCCTTCTCTCTCTCAAGATAAACATCAAAAAAAGAAAAGAAAAATAGTTATGTGACAGAAAAGTAGGCATGAGACAGACATTTCTGAGAAGATGACATGCCTGCAAGTGCGTGAAAATGCAAATCAATGTCACTAGAAACCAGGAAATGCAAATCGAGGCCCACCCACCACAAAATACCATTTGGGCCCATTAACAGGCAGAAACAGAGCTCAGGTGCTCCAGGAGTCAGGAAGGATGGTGAGGATAAATGCCAGGGACCGCTCCGGAAGAGTCCTTGGATTTTCCCCTCTCACCCAGTGACCACCCACGATGTGTCCCCAGGAATCTGCAGTGTGTACCCAGCTCAATGGCACAAAACTGCTCCCGGTGGCACTGAAGGGCTAAGGATCTGAAACAACCAGCTGCCCCCAGCAGGGGTGACCCAGCACGCTGTGGCGCATCCATGCACACAGAGGTGTGGCCAACACCCACCCCCGACCGGCCCCCTGCCCCCCCCCCCCGCCAAAGTCAGCCAGGAGAAGTGCAAAGTGAAGGGTTGAGTGTGCTCAGGGCCACGTCAGGTGTCAGCTATGTGCTCACACTCACGCTGGGTGAGCAAGCCACAGAAATGCAGTGGTGACTAGTAGGGCATCTGGGCCACAGAGTAAGCCCCTGGGCCAGGCAGTAAGGCCAGGACATGTCATTGTGGCCTCTGCAAGGACACAGATGAGCCAAGGCATAGAGACCAGGATGAAGAGGCAGAGGCTGATCCAAGATGCTCCACGCTCTGCTCAAAACCTCAGCCACCGCCTGAGAGAGATGCAGGCATCATGCTTCTCAGACGCTTGTGTGACCCAGCGCTGTGACATGGGGCCACTATACGATGGAGACTGCTAGGGCTGGAGACATCCTGAGAAGCCAGAGTGACTGGCAGAAACCCAGCTGAAGGAACGCCAACACGGCGTCGGGACACACGCTCGCCTCATGCCCCCAAGGGAGACATGCCTCGGAGCAGCTGTCAGGACAACGCGGCCCGGGGAGTGAGACTGGAGGGGACCAGCCACGCCTAACACATCCCACAGAGGCAATGGGACAGCAGAAGGCACCACCCCGAGCTGCCAGGGAGCTCCAGGGAGAAGGGAGGTGTCCAGGGATGCAGAGGCCATCTCCATGCAGAGGATAGAGGCACACAGAAAAAGGGATCACTGGGGCAGACGATTCTGCATCCCCGTCAGGACGCCATGCAGACCTGCTCACCGAGTGACACGTCACTGGGCTTGTACCTTGTGTGTGATTACGGCCCAGTGAGAAGGGGACGTGAAGCACACACCCTTGCACCCCAGAAGACAAGCTGGGGAGGAGGGTAGAGTCTGTTCTTCTACATGAAAAAGTTTCAAAGAGTAGGAAGTTCACCGTCAGAGAACACCACCCCACAACCTGTCATGTGTCCCCACGGGTGGCCCTCCGTATCCAGGACCCTAAGTGTATGGGAGGGCTCAGGCTGGAGTAGCAGGGGATGGGCCACTGCTGCAAGCCCTTGGCTGAGGAGCCATATGACCAGGGGATGGGACGAGTAAGGGCAGGCAGCACAGGATGGAGCCTCTAGCTAGGCGAGCCAACGCAGCTCAGGGACAGACAGACCCTTGGGCGTGGGAGGGACGTGTGCCCCCTGGCTCCGGCACATAGGACAGATAGGTGGCACCACAGATAGAGCAGGGGAAGGGGCAGCAGAGAGCCCCCTACTGGAGTGAAGACAGGTCACCCTCACACAGACTCTGCCAGTCTTGACTGGCCACTTCTACCCGTCCTGAGGCACAGAGGCCCAAGGGAAGGCTCCCAGCACATGGCAGCTGGACTTCCAGCAGAGACGACAGGTGGCAGGGGGGACGTTGGTCAGGAGGGCAGCTCCCAGCCACTCAGCAGCCCTGCCAGGACTGAAGGGACACAGGCAGCCCACCACCACCGAGTTACGGCCTCTGATGAACCAACATGAGGCCCCACGGCGAGCTCTCCCAGCAGGCAAGGTGGTCCTTCCAAGTGCACCAAGCACGGTCAATGCCCCTGGAGGGGCACCAGCCAGAAAAAGAATGTCTGGACCCCTACTTGCCTCCCCCAGCGCTGGCATCTCTTCTTCTGACCCCACCGCAGCCCACGTGCATGCGTGTCCCCCAGAGCGCACTTTGGCAAAGCAGCCCTGTCAGCAGCCAGGCCTGAGTCACAGCAGGTGGGCCAGCCTCTACCCCCCTGCACCTGCTGGCCCACGCCTGGCGGCAGACAGCTGATCACACCCCCCCCACCGGGCCCCAACCCGTCACCCCTTCCTGTGGTACCGTGTCTACAAGTGTCACCGCAGCCACATGGGCATGGCAGGGCAGCTGGGGAACGGCCGGGAGCAGCACCAGCCAAGGCAGTGGCGGCCTGTGTTCACAGAGAGCAGCTGCTCGCCACGGTAGGCTGTCCAGCAGCGTCTGCCTGGCCCTTTGGTGATTCACTCTGGCCTCATGCCTGACACATCTGCCAGGGCTGGGCTGTCCCCTGAGCAGCAGAGTGTTACCAGGCCACCCGCGCTCCTCCTGGGCCGCTCTGCTCGCAACACCCAGGAGGCCGAGGCCACAAGGAAGGCCAGACTCACGGCCCAGAGAGGAGGATGGCACGCCCGGAGCGCTGGAAGGCCCTGGAGAGGCACACGAGGTCTGGGGCTGGAGAGCAGGGTCGTTGCCCATGTTTTGGGGGGAGTCCAAGCGGGGCGCACAGGCTGCAGTTTCCAGCCAGGCTTCTGGAGGATGGCTTCCTCCCTGCAGCCGGCATTCACGCACTGGGGGCCTGGCAGGAGGGGGTGGGAGCGGGGCTGGCGGAACACGTGTGTGCCCTCCACCCAGGCAGGACCACGTGCCTGGCACTAGGACTCAGATGTCACTCCCGTAACCCTGCCACCCTGCTGACCCCTGGCCTGACTGGGGAGAGTAGGGAAGATGCTGGTATTCATCCTGCAGGTCAGGGAGTCCTGAAGTAATGGGGGGGGGGGGGGGGAGACTCTGCAGGCACAGAGCTGGCAGAGGGGCTCTGGGGGGAAGGTGGGGGCCAGGGAGCAGCAGGAAGGCTGCAGATTCACAGCGACTAGGCTGAGGCACCGCCTGCGGGAGCCTGGGCTCTCGGGTTCCAGCCCAGCCGACCCAGGGTCCGCAGATCAGAGGGGCTGGCAGGAGGGCACAGCGTGGAGGAGCACGCCCAGGAGCACATATGAAGGGCACAAGGCGTGCGGAGAGGCCGGGGTGCCCACAGGGCCACATCAGGCTTGCAGC